GTTTTGCCCGGACTTGTAATGGAGAACTGCTTGTCCACGCTGCGGCTTTCCAGTGATCCTTGGCTCCCAGAGCCCGGATTCCTTGCTCCTCCAGCCAGGCTTCCCTGGCTGATGCTTGGGCTTCTTTCCCCGTGATTGGGGCTGCCAGCACCTGGCTCCGCTGCCTACATCTCCCGGCCGGCATGCCGTGGCTCTCCCTCCGCCCAGATGATTCCTTTCCCAGCTGCTCTTTGAGCAGCCTGCGCTTCTCCAAAGCCCTGCTCCTGGGGCTCGCCAATTCGCAGGCTCAGGTAGCTCCAGAACTGCCAAGCCTGTGTCACCATTTTCCCACAGCTGCCACTTGTCTCCTTCCCTGCGGTAAGTATCGTGGCTCGTTGGGAGGGGTCCTGGGCCATGTTGGGGGTGCTTTTGCCTCCACTCTCACATTATATTTTCCAGCTATATCTGATTGCTTTACATAATGTGAACTTTCTGCTTCTGGTATCTCCTTTGTTTGTATGAAATGCTGCTGACTTCGTCTTGACAGATTTCACATGAACTTCATTTTTTCTCAAGTCATTTAAAGGTCTCTTTAGCATTAACTTCAATATAATAAACCAAATTTAGACAAGTCTCTGGGCTTTCAAAAAAAGCAGCCTCACCCTTCTACACACACAAAAAAATGATCATGATAAGACCATCATGAATACATTTATCCAAATGAGACCAATGTGTGATATACCTAAGAGACACAGGGTTCTCATTTACACCCATTCAACCATATTGAAGGCAGAATTTGGTCTCATCAGGAAGCTTTGAAAGCTCATATAGCTACAACAAGATAATCTTGGTGAGGAGACCATTCCAGGCACAATTCACACAGAGGAAATCATGAGATTTGGACTGCAGGTAATGACATACCATAACAGCCAAAAACCACTAAATTCTGGCTCAATACATTTCAATATCACCTAAACTAGCTCTACTGAATTGTTTTAAAGAGGTTCTGGGAGCTGTACGTCAGCCGCAGTAATTCATTTATACAAATGGTGGGTGTATAGACTCAAGGGAAAGAGTACCTTTAAAAAATTACTTGGCTCAGATATAGTGCAAATGTTAGACTTGCAAGCAATCTTCATGAATCACACCTGCAAAATGCAAGATGCTATATAAACCAATGTGACATGCTTGGGACTTTTTTTTTTTTTAAACATATAACAGCCTTGCAGTTAAGGAGAATTTTTAAAAATGGATCTAATCAGTTCTGAGCATGAAGCAAATCAGTTAGGAGTTGAATAATATTAAGGAATCCATTAATTACAGAAAGTAAACTTCCAGGTTTGAGCTTGCAAAAACCAAAAAAGCTAACAATGATGAAACCCAAAATAAATGATCATTAGTTAATGAAGGGCAAGACAGAAGTACACACTGGGCACATCTACACATGCCCCTACTGTGCCATTGTTACTGTGCTGTCATTTATTACAGTGGTTCTCAACCTTTGGTAGCTTACATACCCCTTGCCAAATCGATGTGGCAAAAGCAAACCCGGAAGTTCCACCTTGGCACTTCCGGTTTTGCCACCGCGAGCCAAGTCCCACTTCCTCCTCACGGACCACAGCCCAGGGCAAAGCAGCCTGCACAGGACCTCCCTCCCTGTCCCCTGGCACACTGACACTGGGGAGTGAAAGCCCAGGTGACCCAGACGCAGAGGGGTGGCAGCCGAAACTTCTGGCCCAAACAGGCAAAGACACCTCCAAACCACCGGGCGAGAGGGCAGGCCAAACTCAAAACATGGCACCTGCGTACCCCCTGCCCATGTCTCACATGCCCCCAGGGGTACACATACCACAGGTTGAGAAACACTGATTTATTACTTCCTTTTGGAAGTATTAAATGACAGTGCAGTAACAGCCCATACTGCACCATGCTGGCAGCACATGGTTATTTTTAGCTGCTACATCACTGTACCAATGCACTATACTGAGGAAATGCATTGCTACAGAGATGCAGTGGTGGCATCACGATTTTTGCCCACAGACACTACTTCATTGTAGCATGTTGCTACAGAGATGTAGCATCACATTTAGATGCACCCACTGGGTTATGGGGACAACCATATCATGAAAAGCACATGAACCAAAAGATTTAGTCAGGCAATCTGCAAAACATTTGAAATCACATTTGGGTGAAATTTTGTATATCATGAACTTTTTACAATAGTAGAATGAGCCCTGAATATGCCTACCAGAAACGTCGGGTACTGAGTTTGCAGGTCATATAAAAATGATCGTTTATATCACTCAACTGTAGTCCTAATCCTGATGATCTAAATATTTTTAAACAGCAGACAAGGCAGCTGCTTTTATTCTTCTGAACATCATTCCAGGATACACTGACAAGAGACTTTTAAATGAATCTTACTCATAATGGCACCTTTCTCCCTTAAAAAAATATTTAGCAGAAATTCTTACTACATAGTTAACATAGTCTTACCTGTCAAAAAATGCACACCATTGAAAAATGGCCACTGATGTAAGAGTGAGGTTATAACACCCAAAACTGCTGTATATGCACTATTAGTTCCAAACAACTGAAAAGTTTAAGTAAATACAGTTCTAGGAAACACAAGACCCATAGATAAAAATCAAACAATTCCTTTGAATTTTAGCACAGAACTGAGATTTGGAGAGTACCTTTGAAACTCTCTCACAAGGAGGGCACTGTTAAATCTAGGGCTGCAAAATTTAGCTACCATATTCAGTATGGATCTGATGCCAATTGGTGTGCAGCACCTGCCATTTGTATGAGGGAGAGTTTCATTAGAGAAACTGCTTATGAAAGATGAATGGACTAAAGAAAAACTACCAGGCTGGTATGGTAAAAGCAGCTAAGATATCCTTCCTCCTACTAAATGCAGCATTTCTGAAATGAGACCTCTTCCTTCATACCAATTTAAATACAGCTACACCACTTTTTATGTTGCTCTAGCCATAGTAGAACATTATGAGAGTTCTTGAAATGAGTAACATGACCAGGGCCAGCCCACAATTTTAGAGGCCCCCTGCAAGGTATAGTTTTGGGGCCCCCTGATGTGAAGAAGCCGGCATCAGTGGAGGGGTGGTGGGCACTGGTTGGCAAGCGGCAAAAGAAGCCAGTGGCAGCTGCGGGGAGGGGGTGAGGAGGTAGGAAGCGGCCAGATGTGAAGCTGGTGGTGGCAGCAGGAAGAGGGGGGGCGTTCAGGGGGCCCCTTGGCTGCAGGCCCCCTGAGGCCACAATTTTCACAGGATAGGACGGGCTTGCCCTGAACACAACATTGACTTTAACTGGCCTATTCCAATGAAAGCCAGAGCAATTCTATCACTGACCTCAGTGGGTCTCAGAGGGGGACCAAAGTTCTAGATCTGAGATATTCCAGCAGAACCTCAAAGGTTTATGGAAATTGCAATACAGTTTTAAAACTATGACCCACCCACCAATAACCAGTCAAAACTAACCTAAAATTATTTTACAAGTAAACAGTCTGAGCCAGCAAGTTACACTTGCAGAGCAACTAGCTGACATACTCCCAGAGTTGACAAGCAATAAAGTGAAAGCATCATTCAGAAAAAAAATAGCTCTCTTGATTAAAGGTGACATGTTCTTTAAAAAGAGAAAGCACATACCTAGCTCCTGAAACAAGCAAATCAGTCTTAGTCATGAACTCTATAAAAAAAAGAACAACTTCTGTAATGATCCTACAATTACTAGTCTTTAAGGAACACCTCTTTCCCTTTTCAAGCAGCTTTTCCATGGGTGGGTATACTAACAAACTCATCTAGGGCTAAGATTTACAGGGCAAGATCACCTATACATTAGCTACCATGCTAAGAAGGGATAACTTCTCATCCCATCTCATCATGTTTCTCTCATCCCAGTTTAAGAGTCATTTCTCCCACTTTATCCAATAATCTGATTTTTTTCTAAAGATGCTAGCAAGGGAATATTTCAGAGACAGAAAACTGAACCACTTAAAAACTCCTAGATTTGCATGACCCACTACACTATTTGTAAGTTTATATCTGTCTTTCACCTTTACCATTCCTAAAGCTAATGTTTTGAATTATCCCAGTGTGTACCTACTTTATTTACAGGGCTGTTGTATATGGCTTTTCCTTAGGTTAGCAAATCTCCATCTGGCTACCTCTCGCTGGAGCAGCTCATCAAGTCACCAGAATTTAGGTACTTTATAAAGAGAAACACTTGGTCTTCAGCTATGCTACCTACTCCATTCTGGTAAGAGCCCTTCACTGAACAACAGATAAAGTATCACATGGATCAAGTACTGCAGAATGCCATAAAAGCTACTTCATCATCAAGTTGATACCTGCATGGCGTGCATGTGCTTTAGACAAACATGATTATTAAGTAAATAACATTCTTTCAAAAATGTTATTAGATCTTGATCCTTTGACTTAAAAAAAAAAACCTCCACAAACCTTTTGCACTTAAGCTAAAGATATCTAGATATCTCCAGCTGGGTAGTGGTGCTAAATCCCTTTTCCTAGTGGGTCGGACCCTGAGAGACAACCTTGCACACAACCTGTACAATCAGAGCATTGGAACTGATGACAGCTATTAAGATTATAGCCTTAATGAAGAGTCAAGAAACCAATTCACCTCTTTTCTAAAAGTGGGATACCAGCAGAAAAACATTTTGAAATGACCCATTTATGACATTTTGAAGGATATTATTACTGTTATATTACATACTGTTACTTACTCAGCACTAATTAGCTAGACATTTGTTTTTGCATACTATTTTGCTATGACAAGCAAGCCAATTTACTCTTGCATATGTTACGCTTACAAGTACACTCAATTTAGTGATCCTACTGTTGACAGAAAGGCCACAAAAGATTATTTCCAGGAAAGAATTTTGTCTTTCACTACTTTTTTGTAAGGTAAAGAATGACATTTGTGATACAGTCTGGAAGAGCAAAAATATTCTTGTGTCTGGTAAAAACTTTGACAACACTTACCACTCTTCCAGCCAACTCAATAATCTTCTTCCCCTGTTCACAAAAACAAACTCAATAGGCATGTGGACATCCCTGAAAACAAAGAAGAGATAAAAAGAACATTGTACAAGAAGCTGTGCCAGTGATCTGACTAATAACCTACAGACCAGAGCAAGGGGACGATTCAATACACAACTTTTGAGCACAAAGAACTTTAAAAAATTGCAGTGTTGTCCCACTTTGGAGCAAACTATAAAGACAATTTTCAGGAGTGTTCAGAGTTAGTTGATAAAACAAGGTCACAGTAGACATGTCTAATTTCACAGATGCTCCTAGGTAAGTCAGAGGATAGACCTCCACTGAGACCCCTTGACTACAAAGTAAAGTGCCCTATAACATATGCTAAAATAGTACTGTCTTCACCAAGTGACTAAATTTGTCCATAAAAATATATGACTTTGATATTAATCCTATGAGGTTGCCTGCAGCCTTTCTATTCAGATTTGCCAAAATCTGAAGTGGAAGGAATAGTTTGTTTAATTGTATTAGTTAATATCAACCTATTAAAGGTAACTCACTACAGAGGAAGCCATAAATTAGTCTTTCTGAAGTAGAGAATGTGCAATGAGAAAAAAATAGTGCTCAGTAAGTACATTAAATTAACCTCATATACAATTAAAACCACCAGAATATTAAGAAACATGTCAACTCACATCATGCAGCTTTTCTTTATGGATCACATACATAAATTTAACACAGCATTTTCATAGTTTCATAGTTTCTAGGGTCGGAAGAGACCTG